ACGCACCCCCTTCGATTTAAGATTCACCTTGACAAAGACTCTAATCCTAAATGATATCTAAAGTCTGATGATGGAGCCGAAAAGTGGCCATTGGATCTCTGTAATTAAACGACACAATCCTATCGAGTTCGGACTCGTTTGATTCGTCTTAATGCGGACTTGGGTTCTACTTGGACGAAGGCCATGGCATGACACCTCCCTTGCCCACCTGGGGTAGCGCTGCGAAGGTGTCTGTGGACTCCTTTCCCCTCATTCCGTCTAACTCAGGGGCTTGCTGAATTGAGCATGGCTCTACCCAATAAAAACCAGACAATACTCCCACACCAGTCGCCGGACACAAATTTTCAAATTCGAAGGACCAAGAAACTAAACCATCCCTAAACTGCGTGCCAAGAGTGCACATGTAGTCACGCACCCGATTGGCCACGCAACGCCGGTGGATTTTAAAATATACCTTTTACGCACGAGATCTCACTCGAAATCGCGCATCATTGGACATATCAAGTTGTAAAACTAAAAAAAACCTCAAATATGTTTTTCTCATTAATGTAATTAAATGCACCATTTGTGTAAAATTGTTACTAGACGAGAGAAAATACCTTTAGACTCAGTGGTTTCAGCTCAGTTAATCAATCACTCAGCCAGTTTCTTCCGGGCAATAAGTTTTTCATAATATTATCGTAAAGTTTCATTTCAGCCATCAACTAATACAGTCCAATCATACTTATCATTTCTACTCACTAATTACCATACGTTTTAAGTGTTTACTTTCCTACAAAAAACTTAAACGCCTTTGTAAATCCCCCTAAAATATTTAGATCTAGAAAAAATAATGTTTCCTGTAAAACTTTTATTTCTATACAAAATCTTAATGATTGTAATTAAAAATCAAATCTCGCAAAGCAATTTTATATATAAAACAATACTTTTTATAGTTTTTTATATGAATAGCGATGGAAAATTGGGCCCGCTTGGTGGTATACGGTTTTCATAGTCTAGAGACGCTTGTGGTACCATTGAGTTTTACTTGCGTTTAACAGCGTTTAACCTACCCTACAAACACCATCCTCAATTGCGTGGAGCCCTGGAGCCTTTGGCTGTATCTTATTAATAAAATCTACTGCAACTCTATTTCAGCAATACTAAAAACAAAATTTGTAGCTGTCATAATTGCAATTAACTCATTTGTATTTTTACTTAAGGTCATTTAAAATTACAATTAAGAAAATGCCAATTAATATATGGACAAATTACTTTATCTTAAAATAAAATATTAATAATTAACTGGTAATTTAATAATTTAACTAAAGAACAAATAATTAGATATTTATAACTAAAAACCTAAAATATATAATAACTAAAATACATAATTAAAAGGAGTCCCTTTAGGCAAGGTTCCAAAGATACTGGCAGCGTTCCCCCTTTGAATAGCTAGACTTATTCTTTGTGCGGGTTAGTTGTCTTAAAATTGTAGCGGAGTACACCAAAATGTTGGTTCCGTCATTATTAATAATATCTTTCACTAACATCACTTTTTAGGGTTCCGTACACAATGGGTAAAAATGGGAACCATAAGACTCCATTGTCCGTCCGTCTGTCATCAGGCTGTATCTAGTGAACCGTGAATCAAGATTTAGTTGTACATTCACTAAAAATAAATTATCATAATAAAATAAATATTTAAAGGGAACTCTGCTACAACGGGCGTGTTTTTGTACGATATTATAATATGGTATCTAATGCTGTATAGATAATAGCACGGAACCCTTCGTGCGTGAATCCGACTCGCACGTGGCCTGTTCTTTATATTCAATTAAATTGACATCTAAAATCAAACAAAAGAAATCAACTGAAATAGATTGTGATTTCGAATATTTACCTAATTAGACACCAAGGACTTTTAGGTAATACCTACGAATGAATACAAAAATAAAACATAACCAAGTTTTTGCACAATGAAATAATTGCAGTCAAATAGACGGTAGCAGAACGAATAATCGATTTATGGCCAAAATTGTTTGGCAAAATTTCATTCTTTCAGTTTGATGAAAATATTTGTTATGAAAGTTTTCAGAAAAAAACTGAGATCCCAAGGCCGCGTTGTTTCATCTATGATTTAATAAACCCCCCTTATTATTAAACGAGGAATAAGCTCAGACTAGTTACGCCGGGTTTTGTTCATTTTACTCAAACGCCATATTTTATGTCATTCAATGAACAGAGAAAACATAGTGACTACTTCAAGTTTATTAACTTCGTTTATTAATAATCATAATCATAATCAAAATCATTTATTCAGTTTAGGCTGTTACAAGCACTCATGAATGTCTAGAAGCTACGCCATCGGTTCGTAAATCTACGGCGGGAGACCTTAATAAGGGATACGGGACTAGATATAGTTAAAATACTAAAGAAAAAAATAACCATTTGTCAAAATTTTCCAGATTTAAAACAACGTGGCCTAAAACTCCCAACTTATAATAAATTATCGTGTAAAATAATAACATATAGGGACCTGATCTGATTTACATGTATTTAGTGTTGACCTTTTAAAATTAAAAGTGATAATTTTAGTTTTGCTACTGGCAACACTGCAGTAAATTTATTGAGTTCGTGATGTATACGACTGAAGGACTTGCATCCATGGTCATGAATAAATTTAAAAAAAATTGAGTTCGAACTAACGTCGTTATTCGTCTGTCGTAAGAGAGGGCCATCTATAGAAGTTTAAATCGCATCATATCCAAAGGAAATAAAAGCAACCAACTATTTATTATTAGCACCGTAAATTGATAAATCAAACCAAATAATAAAGCGACTGTGCCAAGGCTTGAAATTGGAGTGCATCCAAGGTTTAGTGCTATAGGAGTTAAATCTATCTAAGTTCAGCGCTGGTTACCCAGTAAGTAGTCTGTTGTGGCCGAGCCAGTTTAGATGCTAAGCTGCTACTCCAGATAAGAGAGTAAGGCTTTACATAATCTGTTAGGCATATTATATTTCCAAACATAATTTACAGGGAATGCACAAAGCTCAACAAAAACACAGTCCATTTAAAAATACTTTCAAATTTTTCGGTGTTAAATTGCAGAACATGTAAATTAATCATCATCATCATCAGCCTATTAATGTCCCCACTGCTGGGGCACAGGCCTTCCCTATGGATGGAATAGGGAGATTGGGCCATGACCCACCACGCGGGCCCAGTGCGGATTGGTGGGTACTAACGACTGCAAATGCAGCCGGGACCAACGGCTTAACGTACCTTCCGAAGCACGGAGGATCTCGAGATAGTAAATATTTGGTCACCCATCCAATGACCGACCACTGCGAAAGTTGCTTAACTTCAACAACCGCAGCCGAACGCGCTAAACACTTGCGCCATCGAGCTCCTCCGTAAATTAATAATGTAATATAACACAAAAAAGGTTCGGACCAAAAGTCTGTAGACGTTTAAAGAATTAATAAAAAAAAACTTGAGGAAGTATATAACGCGAAAGTCATGATTGAATGCACCAATTACTTAATGCACAAAGTATTTTCGTTCAATGATATCTCAAGATCTGCAACTTTTATTTTTGGTATGAATGCATACAACGTTATAATGCACGGCTGCTCTAACTAGATCAATGTTTATTACATAAATGTTGACACTTTTGAAGTGCACTTCTTTGCGGACGGGGTTTAAATGGAAAAATTCTATATATATGTGTATGTGAGGGGGGGATGCGTAGCTCTTACCGAGGAGCATGAAAGTTGGAGGGTAACTCGGCGAAGGCTGAAACGCTACATGCCACAAACGCGACAATATATATATATATATATATATATATATACATACATATATATGAGTGATGCGTGCGCTACTCCAGTCCCCTATGCATTATGCACCGCCTAATGGCTATTCAAGAAAGGAAGTTTTACTACAGATGTGTGGTCGACATTTTTTTTATTTGAACATACTGCAGACCAAATTAGACCAATATAGAAACACTTTAAGATCGTTTTAACTTTCTACTGTTTGTATATCATTTATCGTAAGTACATGCATAATTTACTAAAATTTACATCGATAAATTGTAAAACGATTCCTAGTTACCTACGAATCAATGTCACAAAAACTTATAATATAATCGGAGCTTGCGTAAGTAAGCCTGAACTTGGCAAACCCTCCAATAATCGTCATAATTTTCGACGTTTTCTTCTCCTTCATTAATTTAGCTTGGTATGCTTGTGTTAAAAGTAGCACCACAACCGTATTTAGCATATTTTAGGTACTTGGTTCACCCATCCAATGACCGACCACTTCGAAAGTTGCTTAACTTTAACGAACGCACAAATCACTTGTGCCATCGAGTTCCTGAAAGGACTTTAACCATAATTTAAATCGTATCAAGCAAAGTCAATATGTATCCCAAAATATCTATAACATAAATAAATCTCAGTTTTGTTATATTTTTATAATCATTTAAAACAGTGGCATAGATTTATTTCTTGCTATATATCTCATTTAAAACAAATAGGTATTATAACAGAAGCTTTGCCTATTAATATTATATAAAAGAGAAAATAGATAGACACAAAATTAAGCTTCTATGAGTAAAGACAATCAAAATATCATTTTGTGTAAAGATTTTCTTAAAGAGGTCTGCAGTAAACAAGATCAAAACGCTAATCAAATCTACAATAAGTTATTATGCACTTGATCTGAAGCTAACGACTGGGTCAACGGTTATCACTGTTAAATAAGTTTAGTGATCGAATCGAGGTTAGTCATATTTCAGTGTCTACCTATCCGAAAACGTATGTGCCACAAAGCACTTTATCACGAAGAACTATGGATTATAATTAGGCGAATAACTCGCTGTTTGGCAAAAAAAACGATGTCAAAGCCATCCCGAAGCGCGAAAACCTATCGGAAAACGGTACCCACCCCTGAAGGTGATTGTGGTAGAGGGGGTAAGGTGGCTAGCGGCGCGCGCGCAACCAGCACTCGTCCGCGCGCGCTCTCCTCGCTCGCTCGCGTCTGTGTCCGCGCGTACCAGCTCCCCGTACCACGGTAACGTACCACACACTTACGCAACGTTTCCGCATCGGCGCACGTTATGAAACCGCCCAAAACGCGACGTGAATAGTTCATCGGTTGGAAATTATCACACACGTGGTGAAGTGTCAGATCCTGGCTGGTGGCATGTCGAATGATCGAATGCAATTTTGATTTGAGTGGTTGGTCAATAACGGCGCAACCTCGCCCGGTTTCGACACTCGGCCGATAGAAAACTGATTTCGATAACATTGAAATTGGACGGCGGTCGACGACGGCGCCGCGGCGGAATTTTTCAGCTTTGCTTTTCATTAATTTTGCATGACACCGACTCCGGTTTTGGCGGCGATAAAGTGTTAAAACGTTGAATTGCGCAAAATGGAATATTGATGTGTCTAATCGTGTTAACGCCAAAACTGGAGTCGGTTGTTTTTTTTTTCTTATAACAAACTTTTGACATGTATTTTGTACTGTGTGACTGGATTGAGCGTCTTCGGAATTTGTGATGTTTTAACATATTTCGTCATGTTCACGTTATTCAATCAGTGAATGCTTGTTGATCATGAAATAATATGTGAAGTTGAACATTTGGTGAATATCCGTAACAGTGCTAGTTTTCTTATTATGTGGTTGTCTGTGAGTGATGTTCGAACTAATTAGTATTTAAACTAGACTTGCCAAATGAATATCTTATAACTTTGTGTACCATTTTGCTCACATTAACGATTCAAAAGATACATCGTTTACAAAATCGTTTCCTTTACCACTTAAAGTTAATGATAATTCTATGTTCTATTTACTGTAAGATTGAGTATGACATTGGAGGATTTTTCCCCACTTTGCAAAAGATCCTTAAGCACGTTTAAAGAAGTTATTAAATGCAATAAGTGAAGAAAAACGACATTGTAATAACCGCGATATTTTCCGCTACACAACCCATGTAAATAGAGCGCAAATGAGAATGTATATAATTAGCAAATAGCTATAAATAACATGCCTGATTGACGATTCTTTTAAACTCACTTGATTTTAATCCTATTTCTTTGATTTGGCCAGAATTTTAAATTTAAGGGTTCCTAACAAAAAACTTGGTACAGATCTGTTTGTTATGGTTTTTTTTCTCTATGCGCTTAAGGCCCTGTGTCAGCATTTTCTAATAGAGTCCCAAATTACCTATTTTAATCCAGTCACACCAGCAAAGTTGGTTTGCGCACTTGTCAGAAATATATTCCCGTTATATAGTATTAACATGGCATATAACTTTTAGAACATTTTGATTATGGTACATTTTTTTGAGTTGGTTGTGTTTTTCTTTATCTTAATATATCTTAGGCAAAATTATTATTTATTATTTTTCTTGTTTACATAAATCTCAATATAATTTTTCATATAAAGCTCTGAAACGCTGCAAGACGACACTCTTTTGTTTATTAAATATATTTAAATATCGCATATCTTAACACGCAAGAAAATCTTTACTAGTGAGTGACAAAATATCATATGCTTAAGAAAAACTAAATGACTTCTCAATTAACATTCACCATCTAATTTGATTATGTCTTACTATTGATTCTCATTGACACATCTCTCGTAAATAGTACGATTTTATTGAGTTTACTTAGAAAAATAAAGAATACCAATCAAACTTTTTCAAGCCGCACGATAAATCCGAGTTTAAACCTTCCCACCTAGAGATAGACAGCTTACGTAAAAATAATCTCCAACTGAGCTCTCGTTCGTTTTGGTAAAACAATTTATAATGGTTTCCCAACGTCACCGATGGTTCCGGCAGCTTACGGTTTCTTAGGTTCGTGGGTATCGATATTGGCACGGTCAAGGTTGCCGTAACCCCACCGCGATCCGATGAACCGGGGCGACACAGAAGCCTTCGGTTTTATCCCCAACCAAAAAGTTACGCTTGGCATGATATTTTACGCGCGCACAAATTTTATGTTTAACGGTCAAGAAATCATTTATGAAAAAGTACTTAGTGCAAATATTTATGTTTATCATTTATTAAAAACTGAATTAGTATTCTTTTCTTAACTTCTTTCCGTGTACTCGTATAGTAAGGTTAAAGGTCACTCGAAGAAAATATCAAGTATCATCGAATCGTATCAAAATGAAAGCATGTGATTTTGTAGGGTTTAATTAAGGATTTGTAAAAAAACATCAAAGTTAGTTATCACGTTAGTGTTTCACATTTTAGATGCACTTCTATTAAAAAGTTCTAAGTTCGTGCCGAAATCATATCTAATCGCAAAATTTAGTCAATACAAAAACTAATCAACAACGTTTCATTCAAGCCAGCGGCTCTTATAAGATGAATGTTTATTGTGCCAACCAGTATTACGTATACGGTTCTCATTTCACTTTCGTCTGTCTCTCCCAGTCCATCTAGCATGACTTAGGCTATTCAAACTTCAACTCTAACTACATGAGAATAAAGTTTACCATTAACATACTGTCTGCTGTTGCCGCTATCACAGGTGTAATGATTACTCAATAACTTGTCTGACTACGGCTTATAAATTTTAAATATTGTAAGTGACCATGGTAATCCAATCAGAAATGAAATACAATTAATTGAATTAAGCCATAGACTTTGTTGTACTTTATTAAGGTAAAGGCATAAAAGAAAAAATGAACCAATAGCTGTATCTTAATCAATGAAAATTGCGGTAAATTTCTATATTATTATTTCACAGGAAGCACACCTCGATCTACAAAAATAAAATACTGTAAATATCCAACTGTCTAGCTTATTTCCCATATGGTAGATTTTTCTCATATATCATTTCTTTCTCTTACAAACATTTTAGTTCGCATTTCTGATCTCTTTTAAAAGTGATGATTACCGTGACAAAACGTAACTAGCGTAAATATATTATGATTAAAATAAGCAAACCTTACAAGCTAATGAGACTACGTTAAGAACTGAACCTTCATCGACGATTTTTATAATATATTAGACGCCATGTTAGTCAATCTCAGAACCGTAACATATAAAAATATGCTTATTTTCACAACTTGAGAGTGTTGAGACATGACGCGTAGTATTTGCTAATAATACGCATGCATGAATAAATAATTAAGTTTAGGCAATAATTATAAAACTACACGTAAACATTGACCTCTTGTTTTGGTCTCTTGTTGTATGCTTTGATGACCTCCGTTGCCGAGTGGTTTGTACGCCGGGTTTCATGATGTCGCCGACTCAAGAGGTTCCGGGTTCGAATCCCGATGGGGGCAGATGTTTGTGTGATGAATACGAGCATTTGTACTCCAGTCATGGATGTTTAATTAGTTATTCTACATAAATATGCTCATATATGTACAGTATATTTATTTTAGCCGTTACCCTAGTATCCCATAACACAAGCCTACAGTGCTTACTTTGGGGCTAGGCTAATTGGTGTGAGTGTTGGAATTATTTATTTATTTATGTTGTCTATTTTATAAATGCAAAATCTTCTAAAAGTGCAAAAAAGATCCTCTTAGGTCTGATCGTTCTTATTACTCCTGATATTGCTTGGTCTAGAAGCAATAAATGTATGCACAAAAGATGCATTCAATGACGTAAATGAAATTTCCCATAAGGATTAAAATGGTACACGGGCGAAAAGCTCGTAAATTTTAATAATTAACATAAGAATTAATATGGTCATATGCTATGATAAGAAATAAATATGGCCTGGACTGGGAGTAAAAAATATACATTATTATATATATAAATATTCCAACACACACCAATTAGCCTAGCGCCAAAGTAAGCACTATAGGCTTGTGTTATGGGATACTAGGGTAACGGATAGAATACATATACAGATACATATATATGTATATTAAGATAGAAATACATATTAAACATCCATGATTAGAGTACAAAAGCTCGTTCATCACACAAACATCTGCTCCCACCGGGATTCGAACCCGAGACCGCTCGAGTAGGCTACACCTTGAAACCCGGCGTACAAACCACTCGGCCACGGACGTCGTCAATTTGAATTAAATGTACAAATTGCGACGTTTCCCTTGGAGATAGTAAAATCGTATTAACAAGTTAGGGAGTGGCTGCCGTCATCATAGTTTTGCAATAATAAATAAGACGAACATTATGTCGAATGTAGCTAGGTTGTGGATCAAAAGTCTAGCCGTAAAGTTTATTGACCGAAATTAATGAATATTTATTAAGGAGTTGCATCCTTTCTATGTTATCTAATCTATGTTTTTGGTCTACGATGTCCAGTAACTTTCACATTCATAAGACTAAAGTCCAAAAACTTATGCTATCTCGAGCTTCTCTAAACTTTAGAACGTCTCAGATCTTATGTAGAGCCAATGTGTTAATCTTCTCTTTCACCCTATTTAATTTGGAGGGAATGCTTTAGCTGTAAGAATAATCTCACCAAAACATTTTCATGTAGTGTTGTCAAAAAGTTATAAGATCTTATGTAGAGCCAAGATTCTAACTCTACAAGGCTTAACTTCACAAACTCTAAATCTTAGTCAAAGTATGCGGCTTGGCCATTTAGCTACATTCACATGGGCGTAAGGTAAAAAATGTATCCACTGTTCATTACTTTTTACCCGACTGAGAGTATTGCGAATACTGGCATGACGTTGCGTCTACCTTTTGAAAATCGAACGCGCGTAAAGAAAAACAATAAAAACTATAAACTTACGAAGGAGGTTGGTCAGTCGCCTACAGCCAACATTATGTCGAATGTAGCTATGCTTTGGATCAAAAGTCTAGCCGTAAAGTTCAATTACCGAAATTTATTAAGGAGTTGCATCTTTTCTATGTTATCTAATCTATGTGTTTGGTAAGCGATATCAAATAACTTTCACAACGGTCGGTCATTCATAAGACGAAATTCCAAAAACTTATGCTATCTCGAGCTTCGCCAATCTTTGGAAGTTATAGTCTCGACTGCATCTGGATTCGTTTGCAACCACCTGTCTACAATAAACCCGCGTAGTGGGTGAACACCGCTCTTCCACCCTATTTAATG